ACAAGGCTCCCAGCCTATCTGAGAATTTCACCCAGGGGCCACAAAGTCCCTTCCAAGGCCAGTTCCTGTGTGCTTGGGTCTTGGCCAGGATAAAGCATTGACCTTTGGGCTGACCTCAGGCAAGACAGAAATCTTTCAAGTGAGCCACAGCAGTGAGGGAAAACCTTGCACCTCTTCCCTCTGCAATGGAATACACTGCAGGCCTTTGAAGATTAATCACTTGACAGAGGGAAAGCCATCTCACCAGAATCACCTCTTTCTTTGTAGCATGAATGTTACTGTCCTGACGAAGGTAGACTAGAATGCAAATTTGGTTTTTATCTCCAAAATCTAAGGTCTCTCTCAAATACCCATGGCTACTACACCTCTTGTCCACTCAGCAAAAGATTCAAATCCTTCGTACCCAGAGAACTTAGACTTTCTCTCCTGTCCCCTCACCAAGCCCCCTTCTGAAGCCATGTCTGGAGGGCCTGTTAGTACCGTGGTTACTTTCAGGGCCAATGAAGTCAGACTGTGAGTTTGAATCCTGACTCTACTTCTTGATAGATGTATGCATTTTGAAAAATGTCTTGGGGCACCTGGGTGGCTCAGTTGGTTGGGTATCAACTTCAGCTCAGGTCCTAATTTCATGGTTCATGAGTTTGAACTCTGTGCCAGGCTCTGAGCTGCCAGCACAGAGTTGCCAGCACAGAGCCTGCTTCGGATCCCGTGTCTCCCTCTCTCTCTGTCCTCCCCCACTCGCACTCTCTCTCTCTCTCTCTCTCTCTCTCTGTCAAAAACAAAATAAACATTAAAAAATTTTTTTAAAGAAAAATATCTTAAGTTTCTTCATCTAAAAAATGGAATTAGAGCACTGTATTAGTTTGCTAGGGCTGCTATAATAAAATAGCACAGAGTAGGTAACTAAAACAACAGACCTTTGTTTCTTCACTGTTCTAGAGGCTGGAAGGTGGAGACAGGCTTGGTTTCTCCAGAGGCTTCGTTTCTTGGCTTGAAGAGGGCCACCTTCTCCCTGTGTCCTCACATGGCCTTTACTCTGTGTGAACATGTCCCCTGGTGTTTCTGTATGTCCAAATCCCCTTTTCTTATAAAAACACAAGTTGGATTGGATTAGCGCCACCTCTCATGACATCATTTAACTTAATCACCTCTTTAAAGGCCCTATCTCCAAATGCGGTCACATTCTAAGGTCCTGGGGATTAGGGCTTTGACATATGAATTTTTTTGTGGGAAGGATGACACAGTTAATCCCATAAGAAGTACCTCCCACAAGGTTCTTCTAAATAATATAATGCATTTACATGGTCAGTGAATCATGCTGTGTTCTCTGGAGCAGTAAGGTATACTATTAGGGAGCACATCTGTCTAAAGCTCTCTCCCTCGCCTGCCCCAGTTGAGCCCCCAGAATTAGCTGGCTGCCCTGAAGCAACTTCTGCTGACAGTCCTTCAAGGAAGAGATGCTGTTATAGTCCTGTGGGTTTGTGGGGCCATGAGCTTTGTCCAGGGAAATGATGCAAATGTGGCAAATCATGAGACATTTAATCATTTGACCAAGTGTAACCAATGTACCAATGTCATACATAGATGGGGTCCAGACAAGTTTCTTAGAGGTGAGTTGATAACAAGTGTATCTAATGCTTTCTACCATTGGTTCTTGAGCAATTGGAGGGCAAATATTTCTCTGTGTTGAGCATCCAGCAAGAAACCCAACCCCCAAATGGCTTCTTAAAGTGTGCCTGTTTTTTCTGGGCTCCTCTCTAGGATGCCCATCAGCAGCACTAACTCTGGACCCAAAAAAAAAAAAAAAAATGTGTCTGGAGCTTTGCATAGAACAGGGAGTTCTTTGGTGAATGTGGTGAATTATAAAGTAGCCACACACCCAGACATTCTCCCTTCCAAAGGTCCATCTTGTCAATGCTACTAGTAGAGCGAGTGGGGCAGGCTTGGCATGGAATGTTGCCCCCACTCATGTTCCTTCCTGTCCCTTGCCATGCCCAGGCTCTGAAGAGAAGAGAGGCCCCAGACAAATGTACTCTTTTTGGTCTTGGGCAGGGCCTCTGTCCTGGGCATCCTGCACATGAGCCAAATGTCAGAAGTTCCTACCTTCCCTTTTCCCTTTAACTCAGAGCATTTGCACAATGCCAAGGATGTGGCCTGACATTCAAGGCCCTGAAGGACAAACAGCTTGGTGTTAGTATAGACACCTGCCATTAGAGAAGGTTGATAGCCTTTATTACAAATGACCGCAGGAAAGGTGCTACCTGGTGGGTCTCTGGAGAGCAGAGCTGACAAAGGTAGAGGATGCAGAAAAAATGGAGTGTTGGGACCAATGTGATAAGGCAGGCAGAGAGCTGCACTGTGGGCCTAACATTACTGCCAGTGGTTGTCGGGTAATCTTGGGCAAGGCACCCATACACCTGTATTTCTGCGTCCTGTTGAATGAGTGGGTTGAAGTGCATGGTCCATGAAGTTCCCTGTGGATATTCTGTTTGGTGATCTACAATATACCAAATTGGGACAGATAAGTTAAGACTGGGGCTGACGAGCAGTCCCACAGCTGAGTGCTCAGATGTGTCTCCCATGTGACTATAACCCAAATCCTCCTTGTAATTAGCATTAATGTCTTATGATGTTTGGGGAACATTCATGCTGTATTCTAGAGAACAATTCCAGAAGCATTGACCAAGATCCAAGGCAGTGTATGGGTCAGCTCAGAGAGAAAAAGTTTCTGTAATACTTCATGATGGGTGAAGCAGAAACAGAACACAGCCCTCAAAACCACAGGGACAGATCTGGAAATAGCAGAGGTAAACCAGAAGATAGAATAATGAGAGACAGTTATTTGTATTTAGCTTTGCTATGTGAGATTGATGGACATCTGAATTACTGTTTATTCATATTTGGCATGGACGGGGCTAATGTCACAACACACAGAATATCAAGATCAGCATGATGAAGACTGAGGGGCTGTCCTGCTTCTGAACCCCACGTCTGTTCAAAAGCACACCCAGAGTAAGACTGAATGAGACCACGCTTCGGCAAAAGATAAGCTGCATTTTCTTTCTTCTCGAGCTTGGCACTCATGTTTTTCTTTTGAACGGGAGGAGTAATACATCCTGATTTATTAGAAGGAACAAAAAAAATCAAAGCTTCTTCCTATTCAGCTTCTGTAGAACTCCCATCTGATTATTAAAAGTTATCTGTACCACCAAGATTATTAAAAGCAAGAAATGAGTTTACCAAGAGAGGGGTTGATGTCACAAAGATGTTTAAAAGGAACCTTCTGATGATGCTCCAGCATTCGTAATAAGCCTGGCACAGACTGCCAAGGTGATTGCACATTCCCTGCTCTCTGGAAACCTACAGCCTAAATCATGTGACTCCTAAGAGCAGCCATTCTCCTCCCTGCCCCAACCCACCAGAAAGTATGAACACAGGAGGCTCTGAAAGGTTAGCATGACCACTGTGACATGGTTATGGAGCACACATGGCCTCAGCAGATGCCGGTGAGAATGCCCTGTGCATACAAAGGGCAGAACAGGACACACAAAGTATCATGTTCAGAACTTTTCAGAAACGTGAGAAGTGTTTTCAAGATTGGCTTTCAAAATTGTGATGGTTTCTCCCCTGTTTGTTTTCAATCTTGGTTGCTATTATTATGAAAACAACACATACTCCTTGTAACAGTTGACAGTCTGGGGTTTTTTCTAGGCTCACTCCAACATAATCGTTTTTGTTATTGCACTACATTGTTCCGCAAGCTGTGAACCTAAGCATCTCTGTGAAATGTTGGAAGGAAGCTCTGTGAGGTGGGTGAGGAAAGCAGATGCAGGGAGGATGTAAAATGACTTTGACTCTTCACTGGGGCTTGGAGGGGTGTGGGGTGGTGAGCAAGGCCCAGGGAAAGACCAATCAAAGGCTGCAGGGCTGGGGCAGTTTAATGAGTCTTTTGATGAGACAGCATTCATGACCTCAACCAAATTTAATTGCATTTAGTTTTGAAATCTGGGGAGAAAGGAAAAGTGAAGGAGGCTCCTGATGGACGGAGTAGAGAACACGTGTGAGGGAGTCGAGGGGTGATGGGGAGTCTTGCCTGAGAGAAGATCGAATAGTAATACCTGACTAATAACTGGTTTCTGGGGGTGGATTTGGAGAGAATCTGGTAACTATTTGTTGTGTTCAGTTTGATTCAATTCAAATAGACAGCATTATAAATAACATTGCTCCATAGCGATTGAAGTATCACTGAAATGCAGGGAAATGACGAGCAGGGGTGCTGAGAGGAAAAGGCATGGGGAAAGCAGCAAGGATGGAGTGAGAATGAGAGAGCAAGGAGTGAATGAGAAAGGCAGCCACCCAAACAGACAGACAATCCCAGGGCTCTTGGTCAGGGTGGCCTTAGGCAGTGGATGGAGAAGCTAATGCAAAAGCTTTAGTTAAGAGGCATTGGGCGAGCTGATGAAAAGGCAAGAGAGATGCCAATGTCTTCCCAGTGGAGAATAGTTGTGCAACTTGGGGCAGTGAGCAAGCTGTCGGTCTTCACCATTGGTGATCCCTTCTACGGGCTCTTCTGAGAGCACAGGCTGCGGGGGACAGGGACACCAATCGTGGTCACATGTCAGTGTGCGACAAGGATCCCTCACAAGCTTGTGATCCCTTCAGACAGAACACGTGCTGTCTGACTAACAGCAGATGCAAGGAACCACCACAGTGGCCTCAGTTCTTGGCTCTCTGGGCAAGGCACATCAGCCCCAGCTTCACTCTTGACTTGTGGGTCCCCAGCAGTTCCGGATTGGGGCCTTAAAACTAAAAGTCGATCTCAAAAGTTGTCAGTTTAGGGAACAGCTGTGACTTCCGTGGCCTGTTCCTGATTGTGTGCTTCTTTCTCCCTCTTCCTTTAGACCTCGGTGTGTGTGGGAGTCTCCTCTACTGGCAGCCCCGCTGTGCCCCGCGCATCATGTCCAAGATTTTGACTGTGTGGGTTTGTGTCTTTCTGGCAGGTGTCTCCTCTGTGACTTCCCTGATGTCCCTGGCTTGGGTGCTAGCCTCCTATCACAAGCTGCTGCGGGACTCCAGGGACGACAAGAAGAGTATGAGCTACAGAGGGGCCCTCATCCAACTCTTCTGGCGCCTCTTCACCATCTCATCCAGAGTTATCTCTTTTGCCCTCTTTGCTTCCATATTCCAGCTCTACTTCGGGATCTTCGTGGTGGTTCACTGGTGCGCCATGGCCTTCTGGATCATCCATGGCGGAACAGACTTCTGTATGTCCAAGTGGGAGGAGATCCTCTTCAACATGGTGGTAGGGATCGTGTACATTTTCTGCTGGTTTAACGTCAAGGAAGGGCGGACTCGATATCGAATGTTTGCATATTATACAATAGTCTTGACCGAGAATGCTGCCTTGACGTTCCTTTGGTATTTTTACAGAAACCCGGAGACCACTGACTCCTATGCGGTGCCAGCACTGTGTTGTGTCTTTATTAGCTTTGTGGCTGGGATCGCATTGATGCTCTTATATTACGGTGTGCTGCATCCCATGGGGCCACGAGCTAAGATTTTTGCCAGCTCCTGTTGTGCCGAGCTGCTCTGGGGCATCCCTCTGCCCCCCGATGTTGAGCCCATGGCGCCTCAGACCCCTGGGTACCGGGGGACCCAGGTTACGCCTACCAGAGCCGTAACGGAACAACAGGAGGATCTCACGGCTGACACTTGCTTGCCCGTTTTCCAAGTGAGACCCATGGGGCCCCCGACCCCGTCGGGGCGTCCTTACCACCCAGAAGGGCCCCTCATTAAGATTGACATGCCAAGAAAGAGATACCCGGCTTGGGATGCTCATTTTGTAGACAGGAGGTTGAGAAGGACTATTAACATTCTGCAGTATGTCACCCCCACCGCAGTAGGCATTCGGTATCGAGACGGACCACTCCTTTATGAGTTGCTACAGTATGAGTCTTCACTCTAAGAGCATCTTGACCCAAGTTGAGAAGGGGACCTTTAAGTTTGGTTTGCGGTAAACACCGCTTACAAGAAATATAACCCTCCCTTCCCCCAATACACAAAACCACCACCACCACCACAACCACCACCACCACCATCACCACCAACAACGCTACAAAAAAAAAAAGAAAATAATTCACAACCCCTTCAGATAAGCTTTCTTTCCAGTCGCTGTATGTATACAAAGATATTCTCTATGTTTTGTAAGTAAAAACAAAAAGAAATTTTTCTTTTGTTTTTTACACATAAGAAACAGTATTGAAAAATCCCACACTATGGTTCATAGGGTGGAGAAGGAGGAGTTGTCTCCACTCCTAAAGAAAAACAAAGTTTTATACCTTACACCAAGTGTAGATCATTTACGGGATTGGTGCTGATTGAAAGAACAAAACAAAACAAAACAAAACAAACACAAACACAAACAAACAAACAAAAAAACCTTCAACTGCCTTATGCCCTTAGGTGCTGAGTTTCATTAAGTACTGTCACGTTTTCTCATGCAAAACTCTCTGGTGATTTTTGCACCAGGAGAGGGAAAATTAAACAATCAAATGAAACAAATCTAGAAACAAAACAAAAACCAACCAACAAAAAAACCACAAAGCAATCATTCTTCCTATCTGATTATTTGTATTGAACAAAACAAATTTACCAAAAGCAAAGGCATAGAAACCCCTCCTTCTTTTTGGTTTCTCTCCCAGTCTCCTGTCCTTGCCCCTAATTTATCAGCGCCTTCTAGAAGCCAACATCTGGCTGTTTGAAACCCAAATGGCTGGAGAAGCTACTTGAAGGTTGACTATGTGCCATTTTAGCATTCACCCACTGAGAATCACATTTGTTTCCTGGTGTACAGCAACACAGAACAAAACAAAAAGCCACCCCAATAATTCTGTAAGAACAGGAAATTCTATAGCAAATTAAAGGCAATTTCCATTTCTGTAATCAAAGAACATCAGTAATAATAAAACTCAGCATAGTAGCAAAAAGAATGACATCAATTTAAAGGCACAATACTTAATCAGTGACCGGCAAAAAATGATTTGTTCTGTCATTTTAAGGCCGTGAAAGGTATACATTTATCACATGTGATATTGTGTAAGGCCTCTTCTGTTTCCATTTGGTGGGAAGCCTTAAATTGATCTGGAAAGAATTCTTCATTTTTCATTTGTGCTTTTTAAGAATATTAACAAAAGAGGAAAATTAGAATATAAAAAAAAGTCAAATTGTAATAACTGACCCATTTCAAAGACTGTTTGGTGCTTCTGTCTTTCACCATTGTGGTTGGCTGAAAGTCATTCAGCTCACTTGGTGCATCTGGGTTGAGTGGGAAATTTTGTGTGTGTGGTGAGTGTGCATGTGTGTGCGTGTGTGTGCGTGCGTGTGTGTGTGCCATAGCACACGTCTATATGTGTGTATGTGTCTGCTGCAAGGTCTTGCCAGAAATGTAGAAAACTGATATAAGACAGACTCTGGGTATGGCTGAGGTGGAGTATAAGAGTGCTGGGGAGCGGGAGCAGGGAGAAGGGTATGGTGCTTGAATATCAGCCCCTGTCTGGATGGTGAGACTCATACCAGCAGCAATACTCTGGGTCTTAGAGGCACGTCATTTGGGTGAAGATGTGATTCAATTATTTACTTTCATGTTGTACCAAGTTGAATTTCTGGAGGTGTTGCAAGTATGTTCAACCATTTTTAAATGTTATTTTTCAAAAAGTATTGCTCCTGTAAGGAATATTCTGTTCTAGGGCATCTTTTCAATCCCATTGTATCTCTACTTGGGCACAAAAAAAAAAAAAAAAGGAAAAGAAAAAAATCACAAAAAGAAAAAAATCTCCACAAAAAAGATATATATAAATATATATTTATATATATATTTATATATATATAAGACTGTGTGTGTGTATATATATGTGTGTGTGTGTATGTACACACACACAATATTTTTCAGTAAATACTGTTTGTCTTTGCTGTGTGAGCTGAGTTTTTTTTTTTTTTAATTCCAGATATAACTGTTTAGGGTGCAAGACCTCACATTGAACTATTCTCAAAAGAAGTTCAAAACCTGAGGATTTTTTTTATGTTTGTGGCTTTTTAAAAAAAAAAAAACTATTATTCAAAGAGTCTTTTCCTTCTCACCCCCTTTATTGTTTAACTAAATCTGTTAAAAAAAAAAAAAGAAAAAAGAAAAAAAAGAAAAGGTTTTAAATTTTCTTTCCGTTGTAAACTGGATGCTCCTTTTTTTGTTCAGGTCCCTTTGATTTCCTTCATTATTACTAAACTTTGCAGCGCAGTCCCGTCCCCCTCCCTGACTCAGTTGTTTCCTCAGGTCCTCCCTGGTGGAGAGGAGGAAGGGAGGAGAGGCGCAGAGCCTGTGGCCCTCGTGCCTGTCTGTCTAGGAAGCATGATGCACAGAGCACACCCAGGCCTTGGCAAAGACCAGCCATGCGGGACTGTCTCCACCTACCCAAGGGACAGGCCCATGGGCCACTCAGTAGCTAATTGGGAATTCCAATCTGGTCAGAGGTGCTTTCCTTTTTATTCTGCTTCCCTGCCGAGGGCTTTGCTTGCTGCTTACTCTGCTGAGGCTGGAGGAGGTGAGGCCATTTGAGATGGGCCATCCCATCCTGGCTCGCTGTGGTCCTAACTCTTGTCTGCCTTGGCTCTGGGGCCGTGTGTGCCTAGAGCCCTATAGACGTCCATCGCTGGAGCAATCCTTGACTCTGTCCCTGTGCATCCCTTTAGGACCTCTGCCACTTTGGCTTGTTTGCCTGTCTTTTCTCTTTCTGTTTCATTTTGATACAGTCACAGGCTTTAATTTGCCACCTGTATTCTACTCCACATTTAGCATGTGCACACATGCGTGTGTTTGTGTGTGTGTGTGTGTGTGTGTGTGTGTGTATGTTTACATGCAACTGAGAAAATTACCAACATTTGTGGACCTCGAGCACCAAAAGTTGGGGTGACAACTTCCAACTCAGGGAGGGCCCTCTGGGGTCTTAGCCACTGGGAGCAAATGAGAAGACTACGGGCATTTCAGAAATCCTTTCTTTCGATCTCTGTTGGACTGAGCTCCACAAGACTCAGGCAGGAGGGCACACTTATCCCGTGAAACATTACTCCCCACCTCTCCATCATGCCAGTTACTTTCCTAATGATGAAAATGAAATATGCATTATGAGCAGCAGCAGGGAAATCTGGTTTTGCAGAGGGACAGAAGAAGGAAGAAAAGTCTGGAAAGAAGTAGAAAACATGGAAGGTTTGGCAGGGACACATAAAGAGAATAACCAGAAGAGAGTTTTCATTCACCTTCTCAGTACCATCAGCCTACAGCAAGTCCTTATGTATTCCAATCCCTTGGAGACCTTATGGCCACTAGTCCCAACCAGGAGGTCTCTTTCGGTCTCCTTCCCCACTCCATGGGGATGCTGCCAGCTGGCAGAATCCACACACTCCTCTGCTCAGAGACCATCTCTGAGAGGTCTATCTCCCTCCATGGAAGACTTTGGTTCTGAAAACCCAGACCCTTCAGGCTGCTCTGTGGCAGGGTCACTCAGTGAGCAGAGGTGGCCTCATCCCACACTAGGAATCTGCTTTTAGTTTGCCATTTGCCTGAGCACCTGGCAAACCTCTTATGGGAGATGCTGCCCCACCTGCCCCTCCAGGAGTGTGCTTGATGAGACTATTTAGTTCTCACGGGAGATGAGCACACTGTACCAGGAGCTGTAGCATAAAATAGGAAGCTAATACCCTCTCTTTGCTTACTGACACTCTCTCCCCCCCCCCCCATCAAATTTGCCCACAACCCCACATAGAGACTTTGGCTCATCATTCTCAGAAATATGTACTATCTCTAAAATCTGGCTGATTTTGTTAGCATTCATCTGCAAGTTCTGTTTCTCCCTTGCTCAGGGAGTGTGCCTCTTCTCTGGGGCTTGGCATGAAAGGAAACCTTGTTCTCCTCAGATAACATTGAGGTGATGTCCCCTGAGCTCATTGTCACAAGCCTGTGACATCCCAAGTGGGAATGTCATGTCTCTTTAGACCATGGTGAGGGGAGCTAAGAGGGTTTGAATTTATTAGATGAGACCCCACTGGCTTCACTCACCCCCAAAGTTTCTCCTATCTCAAACATACCTCTCCACTCTGTCTCTACAAGGTTCACCTTGCTCTGTGGGGTCAGATTTGTCCAAACAAGTTGGGAACCGGGGTGCTATGGGGAACAGGCCCCAGCTCTCTTGACGGCACATGCTGCCAACATGTCCCCTTCCAGTCCAAGAGGACAATACTTCTTTATGGCCCCAGGGCCTCCCCAACTCTTGCCAGATCCCCCTCACTCTACCTTCCTAGGAACAAATTCAGCCAATACTCTATGGTCCTGGTGGCCTAACATACCACCACCTCAATAGCCACGGCCTCTCTGAGTCCCAGAATGGCTTAAAAGAGTACAAATACCTGTCTAGACCATGGTCATGATGATGATTCTACTGGCCTTGTGGCATCTCATGCCATAGACAGCAAACCCTATCCTAATAGGAGCCTTATTCTTAGAAAAATTTACAGGTTTTTAAAAAACACCAAATGACATAATTTTCTCAAGTCTTCCTCTACTTTTCCCCCTCCCACACTGTCATAGTGGCAGAAGCAGAGGTTTCTGATGCTGATCTTGTTTGCAGGACCTCTTAACATGGGTCTCACTCCTTTGTATACACTGAAACTTCTTTCCCTGAGTTTATGTGCCTGATAGAGAAAGCATACCTCCCTTTTCCCTGTCTACTTTGTTCCTTACTCCTGGGGATGGAGGGATCCATATTAAGCCCCAAGCCCTGATCCCCTTAGACTGTAGCAAAATCTTTCCATTACCTGGAAACAGATGTAAAGAGAGGATATCAGTGTGCAGACTTAGAGCTTTTGGCCTGGGGTAAAGGATGTCAGATCCCAAAGGAGAATGGGCCTAGGGTATATTCT